CCTCCCCAGGCGCGCGCGCGCGCGCAGCCGAGTGGAGGTGTGAATGATCCGCCTACCATAAAGCAAAGTGCATCTAGCTTCCAAAGCATGCGAGGAGAGAACGTTTTCTAGCCCTTTCCCTTTTCGCTTCCATCGCTTCGTCTCGTTTCCCTCCCTTTCGCTCGGATTCTCTTACGTGTTCGACCAATCGTCGCTTCTCGATTCGATTCTCAATGATTCGCAGGAATTTCGCTTCTTCTCGCTGCATGACTCTGGTTTCCGCGCCGTTGTCGCCCTTCTTTCGCTGTGTGTAATACGAATCATTGGATCATCCGCGGTCATTGACATGTCTCTCTCTCTCTCTCTCTCTGCCAGACGGTCGCGTCAACGACGTTATGCCTAGTGTTATGGATACTTATTCTAAAATGTTTCACGCGTCGCGTCTCTCATCCCTCAGGGCTTCCCCCCCCCCCTCCCCCTCCCTTTGTATTCCGTCATGATCGAGACTGCTCGAGTTTCCAATAAATTCACGATCGCGTGCGGCGCGCATTCGAACCGGCGGCGATCGCGAATTTACTGGTAACACGAGCGATCTCGATTCATATGTTTGTACGAATCTGACACTATTCGGACACCCGATGATTTTATAGCGTGGGGGATACGTGGGGGAGGCTGGGCCTAGTTGATACACGAGGCAGATAGCCGCACAGCTTTAAAATGACAAACGATTCCATTTATACGATTCCTATCTCCCAAGGTTTTTAGTTTCGTATACTTTCGAAGGTAAATAAAGTCAGTGATATATATTATGTGTTATAATTCAAAATTTTATATTATCGTTATATGATAATCTAGCTGCTGATTAGATTGGAGGCACGTGCTTATAAACTTGGTTTCACGCGATCGTAGACGCGTCGTTGCTACGTGCGCTTGTTCGCGCGCAATAAACGATCGTATCGGCTCTCCACCGCCTATTCGGCGTGTCGGGTTGTCGTGCAAAGCCGCGAACACATCGAGTGTACTGATAAATTGTTATGAGTTTCCACAGCGGCAGGGGTAGTAGATCGAGTGGACACGGTTCGGTAGGGTGCAACGCGACGCGGCTGTGTAGCGTGTCTGTCGGTGCAGACGATGTGTAGCAAATGCCATTAACGTGAACTTTCGATTGAAACGGGATACGATTCTCTCTCTCTCTCTCTCTCTCTCTCTCTCCTTTCTTCGCAACACAGCGTCGCGGACGGGTGGGTGCGCGTCTGTGTGTTAGTCAACTTGTGCGGTGTAAAAGAGCGCACGGCAAAAGAGGTGGGGCCTCCACACCAAGGATCTCCTCGTCGATCGACTGATCCTTCCAACGTGAGCGTTCGTGTGTACGTACGTTCACTTCATCGCGAAATCCAAGCGCACGAAAATCCGGCTCGCTGCCCTCGTAGCGCTAATTGACGATACATGAGCGTAAAAGATAAAAGGGACGGCATTGCACATGTTTCGCCACCACCCTCGGTCCTGTGATTGAAACTTTTCCTTTATTATATCGTGCAGCGCGCCTTCAACTTCGCATCATTTCCCGATGATTTATTTCGCCGGAACGTGTTCCCGACGCCTTCCTCCCATGCACTCGCCGATGATCGCGAATTATTCCCGATGTCTCTCATTTTCATCACGCTTATTCGCGAAATTTCCGCGTTATCGCGGCGCAACCGCGGCGGCGAAACATGGAACGCGTTCTTTTTATCTTTTACGCTCATGTATCGTCGATCAACGCTGTGGGCGCAGCAAGCCAGATTGTAATTGGAATTAATGGGACCTTTTTACATATACCCCCCCCCCCCC